ACGATATTGAAAGTCCACTTTCCCGTATAAACACCGAAAAAGTCAAAAACACTTTCCTAAATAAAAGCGCAGCTGGAAGAGCGCAAATCGCTTTCTAGAAATAATTTCAACTTGCTGGTGCTGCACCAACAATTTTCATTTCTGCTGAAAGCCAATTGAGTGCTGCCATGTGGCGCGGTTTTTGGCGAATTTTTATAAAATTTTAAATATGATATCAAAAATACGTGTAATTAATTTATTCTACTGATATGAAGTATGTATTTAAATGACTGTTTTGTGCGTGTTTTTGCATTTTTAGTAAATTTTTCAGCTCTTTAATTTTGCTACAAGAATAAAAATATCTGGTAACACAATTGAAAGTGCAATTTCTGCATTCATCGTGTAAAAGGATAAAAAATAGTATCGCAATGTTTGATTTTCTGAATTTAAAACTGGCTTCGAAAGTCACTTTCTACATGCAATATATTTCTATAAAATGAGAAATATAAGAAAGCAGTTGCATGAGCAGTCACACATTGTATATAAAGTGTCTTTCGAAAGAGGTTTTTAGTTTCCGATAGGGGAATCGCAGGGAAAATTTCTGAAAATGCTTTTTGGCTGTTCAAACAGCGAATGAATTTTCGGTCATCTTTTTCGATACTAAAATGCAACCGTGGACCGCTTTGCCGGGTGCTCGTTATTTCTCTTCGTTATAATAAACGTTATTTTAAGGTTTCGGATTTACATAATTACAAGATTTCTGATACTTTATTCAAAAGTATGCGTTATTATTTCTCACAAACTCGCGATAAGTGTCACACGGCAACGCCCGACAGCACTTGCAGCAGAAATAAAAATTGCTAGAGCATCACGGGCAAGTTGAAATATATTTTCGAAATCGATTTTCGCTCTTTCAATTGCAGTTAAATCTTGCAACTTTTATTTCTGAAACTGATTTCGTGACGTGGAACTTAAATTTCTCTTTCTGAATTTTGAAGCGAATTCCAAAAGTCGGAAAATCTTAAGTTTGACAAGACTTTTCAAAACCCCTTACATCAAAAAACTTTTTTTTTCCTAAAATACAAATGTTTAGTAAAATAACGCTGAATTTATAGATATATAACAAATTGGCAATCCATTTTTCTTTTTGTAAGTTTTGATAAACAATTTTTTTAATTCACTAAAGGCCATTCCAAATAAATTCTTATTAGACGACCTATTCACAAGATGCTTTTTCACGTATGCGTTTTTGTTTATTTTCTTAAAAAAATCATCATCGATCTTTTACTTAGACTTTAGAAATATTGATATTTTATTAAAAGCATTCATCCACCCACATTTTTATAAACGAGTTAAAAAAGAAAACAAAAACTCAATTTTGTCGACCGTGCGTGTTTTCTACTCTGTAATTTTTATTTAGTTTCTGGCATACGAGCTCGATACGCATGAGTTTAAACTCATGGTGGAAAGTCGTCGTGTAAATAGGGTCTAATAAAGAACTAGCAAGACTTAAAAAATATTAAATAGAATTCCATACATTTCAAAGGATTCTGAGATTTCGCCGTCACTCATGGCAAATACATTCGATGAGAAATTTTGGATTTAAAAAAAGTAATTGCATTGGTATTTCTTTCTTACTTTGCTCTCAGATGGGAGCGCTAGCATAGATAGTCTCAGAATAGTTTTAATAATTTCCCTCCAAAAAATACTTCTTATTCGAAAATACGTGGTGAAAGTAATTTTTATAATAAAAAATAAATAATATTATGTAAAGTTTAAAAACTCAATGCAAAAAAACAATTAGTATCCACATGCCAAAAACTAAAAAATCTGACAAACATTAAAATAAAAAACATATTTAAGCATAAAATATACAAAAAAATTAAACAATGAAAAACTGTGTATTTAAACATAAATGCATAAATAAAATATTGAAAGAAAATATTAACTATAATTATTTAAAAGAACGAAGAATTTTAGAATATGAAATTTTGAGTATAGTATACACTTCCGACATATGTACATGTGTACATACCCAGCCATTAGAGAAACGTACTTTTTGTCGACAGTGCAGTTTTCGTACATTTTTCGTATCCGGAAACGTTCAGAAAATGATTTCCATATTTGTTCATTTTTCGTATCCGAAAATTATTTCAAAACAATAATTTTAAAATATTTGTTCAAGCTGAGCATTTGAAAACATGTATACGTATTCGCCAGTAGCTGAGTGTGCAGAGAAGTGAGCTACTATTTGTTAGCTTTTAGGAGGTTCCAGGTGCGAATTTCGTCAGAAGCAACACATTAAAATTATTTATTAATCGAAATAATTGCTAAAGCATAAATTTGTTTTTTGTTTGGTTGCCTATAACTATGAAGAAGTTTCTGTGAAGTTCATAATAAAATCGTTTTCAACGAAAAGTTGAATCAGACAAATTTCAGGAAAACAGACGAAAAAGTATCCGTTTTACAACCATTTTCGATAGTTTTCTGCACATACGTTTCGGATGAACACTTTAGTGGAAGAATTGATCTGAAAAACGTCCGAAAACGGAATCGGAAAACGGATGAAACATCAGGTTTTTATACGAAATTGTTTCCATTTTTGGATACGTTTCGGGATATTTTGCTGGCTGGGTATACATATATGTCGGCATTAATTGAATGAAGTCTACATACCCAGCCAGCAAAATATCCCGAAACGTATCCAAAAATGGAAACAATTTCGTATAAAAACCTGATGTTTCATCCGTTTTCCGATTCCGTTTTCGGACGTTTTTCAGATCAATTCTCCCACTAAAGTGTTCATCTGAAACGTATGTGCAGAAAACTATCGAAAATGGTTGTAAAACGGAATTTTTTCGTCTGTTTTCCTGAAATTTGTCTGATTCAACTTTTCGTTGAAAACGATTTTATTATGAACTTCAGAGAAACTTTTTCATAGTTATAGGAAACCAAACAAAAAACAAATTTAAGCTTCAGCAATTATTTCGATTAATAAATAATTTTAATGTGTTGCTTCTGACGAAATTCGAACCCGGAACCTCCTGAAAGCTAACAAATAGTAGCTCACTTCTCCGCAAACTCAGCTACTGGCGAATACGTATACATGTTTTCAAATGCTCAGTTTGAACAAACATTTTAAAATTATTGTTTTGAAATAATTTTCGGATACGAAAAATGAACAAATATGGAAATCATTTTCTGAACGTTTCCGGATACGAAAAATGTACGAAAACTGCACTGTCGACAAAAAGTACGTTTCTCTGCTGGCTGGGTAATTCCCTATGTTCAGAAATTTGTAATATTTTTAAAAATGCATTTGTTGATCCTAAATACACTTTTAACCGAATTCCATATTTGGTAAATGCAAATTAAAGAGATATAAAAAGCGATTTAAAGTCAAGTAATGTAGAAATTTTGGCTAATAAACTGAAGAAGAAGTTTTTTGTTTTTTAATCAAAGAGTCCAAAGTAAGAGTAAAGAGTAGCAAAACAAATTTTTGCAGTAAAATAAAATCTTTTAACTGATTAAAATATAAGTTTTCATGAAAAAATGTAGTTGTGTTTTGTTTTTTTTTTTTTTTTTATGAAAAGACTGAGGTCGTCTGAAATATTCGAAACATGAGGTTTGCATTTCACAAAAATTTGGCCACTAATCTGCTTGCATAAATATGTCTATGTATCTACTTACAAAAGAAACGGGTAAATATGGATACGTATACATATCGATGGTACTGTGCAATAACGATACAATTCAAAATTTAAAAAACAAAAACTGTTACTACTGTCTAATCCTAGTCGAATCCATTTCCATCCCTTACTAAAATAAGCAGTAAGGACAAAAGATTAGACATGGATTCGACAAGGATTAGAGGCATGAGCCACTTAACTGTAAAAGAAGTTTTTATTTTTTAAATTTTGAATTGTGTCGTTATTGTGCAGGACCATCGATATGTAATACAGGCATAGAATAGACGGTATAAAGAAGAACCACGTACAAATTAATAATTAAAATGACATCCCGGAATAGAGCAGCGAAATTAGCATCTCATCCACTTGAAATAATATGACGAGTCATTCTGTTCAGATTTCAGCGCAAGTCGACAATCTTCTCCTGTAGATTGTTTATTCTGTGATATCATCTATAATTCAGTGCACACACACGCATGTGTCTGTATACATATGTTGATGTGTATGCAAATGCATAGGTAGCTTGATTTGTTTTTTAGTAAACCCTTTTTGTCAGATGATAAGTGAACCTACTTTTACCTACAATGATTTAACAACAGCAAATATTTTGTTTATAAGCACAAAACCTATGTCATGATTACATAATTGTTTTCCGTTTCCTTTCTATATACTAATACATACATACATTTCAATAACTTCTATGTATATGTACATAAACACTTGCATTCATATACACGAAGTATGGAATATGCGATATAACATTTCGTTACGAAATTTCATAGAAAAATAATAATAAATAATTGCAACGTCTAAATTCATTCAATGAATAATGTTTAATATTATTATTATTTTTTTAACTTCATTTAACTAAGTAAAATGACTACATTGAAATGCAAATTTACAAACTATTTGCTATATTTTTTCAAGTCTTATATGATTGCCAAAATGTGTGTTCTTCGTTTATACTAATATTATTTTGTTAAGTTTCATTCGCGTTTTAACTAATTTTTGTTTTTTTTTATCCAATCTAGTTTTCTATTCCCAAATAATTTATTTAACCAACATTTAATCAAAAACATTTTATTGTGCACAACTTTTTTTAGTTTTTAACATTTTATCATTCTCTTTAGTCATACACACAAAATTTGTTAGTTCAATTAATAAAATTAAAATTAAATGTAAAAAAATAAAAAAATTTATATTTAAAAAACAACTATTATTTCTTAATGCTTTGCTCGAAATAAAATTTCTCTAATATACATACACCATCATTATTAGTAATAATTTAAAGTAAAATAAAAAACAAACAAACCAGTATGCATACATATATAAATTATAAAAGAAATAAGGTAAAAACAAGCAAAAGATATAAAAAATAACAAATAATTATAAGTAGATAATAAGAAAACCATTAACTGTGTCTCCGTTTTTCCGTACATTAAGTTTTGTTAAATTAATTAATTCTAATGTTTTTGTTTTAAATTCTAAACTTAATAAATTTTAGCAGCAATAGTAATGTAAAACCCTTACAACTTCTACATATGGTATGGTCATTAAAGCAGTGTTTACCAGCAAAGAGTTTATTGCTGTATTTTGCTTTCGAAGTATCAAAAATACATATGTAGCAGGACAACTGGGTACAACAAACATATGTACATTCTCTAGGTACATACAATGCATAATTGTGTGTCAATCATATATGTAAGTGCGGAAATATTGTAATTAGGTTGAAGTGACCAACGGCTAATGGCCAACTACCGAAAATGCTTAACATTTAATGTCTAGTTTACTGGCAATTAACGATAACTGCTTTCGGTCCTGCTTTTCGGTATTTGCCTCTGGCCTCTTTTCTTATTCTTAACATTCGCGTATTTTTTTTTCAGTTTTTGTTTTGTTTACTATGCCAGACTTACATTACGATTGGTGGGACCTGCACATACCTGTAAATGTATAGACGGTAATCTTTGCTGGCCAGCACCACGCTGCCATCATCCATGAGCGCTACATCAAAGCATTGTGCATGTTTGACCTTTGATTCCAATGCGCTAACCAACTGTCCTTCCTGTGTGAAGATCGTCAAATTAAAGTTGTTGTGATTGTCAGCAATTAAGATTTCGCCATTTGCATTGATGCCCACGCCGATGGGATAATTGGTGACGCCTTCTCCGCCAATCTGCCGCAAATACTGCCCTTCGTAATTGAAGACTTTAACGCAATGTGCACGATTGTCGCTTATAAATATCTCCTGCTTGTCGTTCACTACAACACCATTCGGAAACTCTAAATGTTTGCTGCAGCCGAACTTGTGAATAACATTTCCATTTTGATCGAATATTATTACGCGCATCACCTTACATTCAACGACAATAATGCGACCTTTGTTATCGACGGTTACGCCACGTGGATGTTGCAGTATATTGGCACCGAATTTGCGTACGAATTGTCCATATTGGTTGTAGATTTGAATTTGATGGGTTGGTGAGCGTTCAGTGACGATTATATCGCCTGAATTGCGCACTACAGCAACGCGATTGGGATATAATAATTGAGAATCGCGTTTGCCACATTCCCCAAATTGGAATTTAAATCGGCCCTCCTTATCGAAAATCTGTATGCGATGGTTGTTTGTATCTGCGACAATTATGTCATTTTGAGCGTTTACAGCTACACCGCTAGGTTCGGTGAATTGACCTTCCAGTACGCCGAATTCACCAAACTTGCAGTGATAAATCATTTTCTGGCGTTTGATTTGTGACTTAGGTGGATAAGTGGAGGTAGAGAGCAGTTTTGAAGTTAAGTCCATTAGTGAGTCGCTTGATGTGTTGTTGCCTTGTACATTTAGTGTACCGAGTGCGCTGCCGCCTGCAGCAGAACCCACACTGCTTGTCAAGGAGTTGAGTAGTTGTGCGCTTGAAAAGGGATCTGCTGATGAGAAAATATTATCGCTGCCACCGTTGCTCCATTTTTCATAGGGGTTAACACCAACATAGGGTCCAATGACACCAGTTGAGTGGCCATGGTATCTCTTTGCCATTAACTCTTCAAAGGTTGAGCTACTGTTCGTGTTAATAGTACCAGCATTACCAATCAAGCCATGATTAGTGCCGCCGCGTCCAAGCATTCCACCAACGCCGTTCACACCACCAACCACGGCGCTGCTGTATGCATTCTCAAGCAAACTGGCTGACAAGCCTAAACCAAAGTGGGTTGAACCAACGCCGCTAAGACTACTGTTGCTGCTGCTGCTATTAGATGAGTTCTGGGTTGGCCTAGCAATAGGAGGCTGCTTTACGACTTGGCCATTTGTTGCTTCAGTATTACCTGGTCGAATGTAGCCAAAAGTGTTGCGTACACCTGCTTGTATGGACTGATAATTTGAAATAAACTCCAATTCAAATGGCAACTGCATATCCATCAATGCTGTTTGCAATTGCTGTTCAAGCATTTTTCGTAGCATCAAAACGTCGGCAACGCTGTGTGTTTTCGTCGAGCGTTCCAAACTATCGCACGTGTGCACTGCTTTCTCGATGAGTTCCTTGGAACGTTGCAACCAAACGCTGCTTGAAGCAACTTTTGCATTATATAAACCCTCCAGTTCCTTCAAAACTTCCTGTTTGCGTTCATCGAGCATTGAACAGAAAAACTGATAGGTCTCATTCACCTCATTGTGTGCCTTCTGATATTGCATTTTAATTTTGCTCGAGTTGCTGTCCGAATTACTACTGACCAGCGATACAATTTCGGCAATTTTGCCGCGTAGTTCTGTCAATACTGTTTGCAACACCGTTTCGGGTGAGGTTTGTTGTTGATGATTAAACGTCGACGATGATGCCGGCGAATTCGTTTGAAAAATTGTCGATAGCTGATGTTCCTGCAGATGCTCCACCTCATGCAAGCCGACGGAGTGTTCTTGCAACACACATTCATTACAAACAATCTTGCAACATGTGCGACAGTTAAACTTCAGTGGTTCATTTTTATGACGCCGACAGAAGGATGTGGAACGTAGTTGTGGCATAAAATTTCCAAAAAAGTCTTCGCCATTGCAAATTGTAGTATTATTAGTGTTATTCTCTAGATGATCGCCACTGTCACCCCCCAACAGAGAGGCGCTGGTTGTAGCCACAACATGCGAATTTAATACCATCTTGGAGAGTTGTGAAAATGATTTAGAGATTTGTTGCTGCTGTTGTTGCTGTTGCTGTTGTAGCATCATTGTAAGAGAACTGGATAATTTTATGTCGGCTGTGACAAGATTGCTAGACGTAGGGACTGTTAGATTTGTAGAGGGGGATGATGATGTTGTCGTCGTTGATGTGGTGGTAACATTGTTGGTAGTTGTATCGAAGCCTTTGATAAGCGAAACATTATGCCCATTAAAACAGTGCATGAACTGATGAGCTGTAACGCAATTAGCGCAAAGATAGCTGATGCATTCAAAACATCTCGCTACAGCGTCGGATTGTTTACTCTTGCAAGCGGTGCAGCGGGGCACGGCAACGCCATTGGCCGTCGATACGCTCACTATGCTGCTGTTGGAAATTAAATTGTTGCAAGGACTTCCTTTCCCATTGAGATTGCTGCCGATAACACCAGGGCCATTACTGCTGTTGTTACACCCGACACCTCCACCACCACTACCGATGCCTTCTCCTCCACCACCGTTGGCAATATTATTGCAACTATTGTTACTATTGGCACTACTTGTGCTGCCGCAGCCACTTAATCCACTACTAGACGATGATGAAGAAGATGATACTGAAGCCGAAATTGGATGATGTTGATTGCTTCCCGTTCCGGCGCTTGTAAATTCGTCACAAATAGCTGAATCGCTGACTGGTGGCGAAGAACCACTCAATGTAAGCGGAGAGTCTGATAAATATCCTGTATGTTCGCCGTAAGACTCTATAGAATTAGTGCCACGAATGGAGTCCAATGAGGGGGTGGGAGAAGTGGCCATTTTAGCAGGCGAGCTAAATGACCAATATTGCTTCTAATTAAATGTATTGAGAAAAATAAAAACCATAAATTAATTATCTACTAGAATGATTAGAAGTGTTACTTCTTACCCTTAGTCCTTGTAAATGAATCTTATCTGCTTTCGTTCGACCAAATAACTGATAACTTGCAATATTTGTATGTAAATGTAGAATAGTCCCTTATCCGTTTAGGTTTGCACTGCTGTTGCGTTTATTCACGATTCAATTCATTTTCCACTTTAGTAAAAATGTAGTCATCATTTTTAAAAACTGTAAAATAAGATATAGATTCTTTAATAAAAATGATAAAAAAAACACTTAATTATTGTGTATAAATAATTAATTACAATAAAATCCTTGGAATAATAATTAAAAAATAAATGTATTTGGATGAATACATTTCCTACAAATAACCAGTAGACATTAAATTTATAGCAGCGCCGCGAATGGCCCGGACAAAGCTAGTAACGAATGAGTTGAACTACCTGTGTGTGATGTAGAGGAGAGTGCATACATATGTATATACATACATATGTACTTAAAAAAACTCTAAATATTCTATAGCACTGTGCCAGTAGACAGCAGCTCAATCGTTATGTACTGTTAGACAAATTTTAGCTATTAATTTTTATAACCTTTCCGAAATTTTTAAACGGGATGGCATTGCATTGAATGCAACAATACAATAGAATAAACAGGATTGCTTGCCTTCCTTGAAATGGCTACCCGACGCAGAACACTCACTAATACATATACCAATGCTAAACATACATACACATACTGCATGTGTCTATGGCGATAGCAATACAGGCGACAGCTGCTATGGGTACAGACGGCTTAACACAGTAAACCTCCCTTGCAGATGGCGTCTACCCGATTAGGGTTGCCAACATCCGCATAAATTCTTACAAGGAATATACGGATTTTTAATATAATTTGGGTATTCACAACAGACTGGTTATAAGGTTATGGGGTTATAATTTTAATTCACTTACAAAAACACAAGTAATTTTAAGCAAAAAACAAAACCTTCATGACCAAATGATCGGAGGCAACACCTTTCCTTTAAAAAAAAATTATAGAAATCGGTTAACGTAAAAAACATATAAAAAATATTCCTCCTTTTTGTGAAGCCATTAAAAATACACTAGAGAATAATAATTTTTAACCAGATAACCTGATAACCAGCAGATCTGAATACCCCATATGTTTATATAAAACAAAATATACATATACAACAATTTCTCCTGACCGAGACCGAGACTTGTTTATTTATTAAAATTTCTCCACATCTGGCTTTACATACATTTGTTTGTTGCCTCAACTGTGTTCGCATTTTTGTCAACTGCTACACTTTTTCTGATGACCTGTAAAATATTTTTGTTCTAATCACAATTCGTCGTCCAGTGCTGCTAAGTCACTCGATACGACACGACTCTCGTTTATTTTATCGCCGATGGCAGTCCTATAATCTACCCCCAAGTGCAATTTCGCCGTACCTAGACGTCGCAAAATTCCATGCATGTGGTTGTAAGAGTAGTATCGACGAGCGAGAATGCGCACACCTAATGATTGTGTCGATTCGCTTCATTCCGCCTCCGCATCTCTTCTTACGGTACTCTCATGCATTTTTGGTAAAAATCAATAGTGTATGCACGTATATTCTCAAATTCACAAATATAACTATAATAGCTGCCGCCACGACCAAAAGCAATAATGCAATGCAAAAATGTATCTTGCGAGGGAGATGCAAACACATATAAACCAGCGACAGACGCTTCCACACCCATACCTGAATGAGCGGCCTATCGCTCAAGCAATATTCATATGCACATTAGGGCGGGTCAATTTGTATGGGAGATTTTTTCGACTACAGGTGTACGGCATAGGCTTCTACGTGTAATTCTAAGCGAATTTGCCAAAGAAACCATGGGTCTAAAATCAATTTGGAGTTTCCCAAATTGCGAAAATATGTTAATTTTACTTGACATTTTGTTGTAGTGTCATAAAGAAGTACTTAAATTAGTTTTTTTGCACAGAAATAATACCTTTCCACTGATACCCCGTAAGTCCAAATCGGAATTGCTTTTGTCCAGTTATTCAAGTTTTTCTTAAACCAATCTTTGAAAAAAAAAGTTAAAAAACAGCATCATAAATCTCATTATTACGAAATTATTATTATTATGTTGAAAAGATATTTAAATATTCTTATGCAGATTTTTAAGCTTAAACTGTTTTGTCATCTGAGGGGATTTTTTTTTTAAGTTCTTTAAGAAACTACTTTTATGCATAACAGCTCCATTTTTGGATTTTTTTTAAATCGGTCCAGCTCACGAAAATCTTAATATTTTTCCGAAATATTTTGGTAAACGTCTTCACATATAATAAATGTTGTAGTCCCGGCCGAAAACCCGCAGCTTTTTGTTGGTGATGCAGTCTAATGAACATACTTATGTACATACGTGTGGTATGCATGTAGTTTGTATTGAACTTTAGTTGTATGAAAAAAAAATTTAAAGGATAAGTTTTTTATTTAACACGTAAGAAAATGTGAAAAGTTATACTGCCCTCTGGCGGAAGTTTTAAAAAAAGTTTTGTCCATAAATTGATTTCTCATACCAAAAATACCCGTTTTAGCATGTTTTTATACAAAATTTACGACACCACGGCGAAATTCGAAGTAAAAGAAACCTATTTTCGCAATTTAGCAAACTCCAAATTGATTTTAGACCTATGGTTTCTTCGGCTAATTTGCTTAGAATTACACGTAGAATCCTCCTATACGCCTATAGTCGAAAAAAATTTACCCGCCCTAATGTACCTACATATATGTACTATACACACGATCGATGAATGTAAATATTTTAACAAAATGCCGAACTGTTGAATGTTGGATAGCAAAAAAGGACTATTAACCCCCAGGACTCCCCCTACCAACACCGCGCCTCCTCAAATACTAAGTTATGCATGTAGGTATACTAAAACGTATTTGGGGAGCTCCACAGGTTGTGAAGCGACGCAGTTTCATGAACCCGAGCGAATAAGTAGCGACGGTATATTTTTTGTTACTGTGAGTCCGTTGCCATCCATTCGTTTATTAAGTTCGCAACACTACAAAGATACGAAAAAGGACCTGTATATTCTACATACATATCCATATACATACACAGGCACATATGTATGTATTTATGAATGTGGTTAACCATGTGCAAAAGTATGAATGTATGTATGTATATCACTGTTACCGTTTCGGTCCATTTCCATTTTTCCACTGGTAGTTTCATTTCTTAAAATAAGGCTTTGGTAGGTTGGTTTGTTTGTTGTGATTTTCGAGGGGTTTTGGAAGGCAAATCACATAATTTATTCATTTTATAAAACTTAAAGAATCTCTGTTTTCGAGAGTACATGTAAAGGATTATGTGAAAAGGAAAAGAGAAATGGTACATGTGTAAATTATTCTTGAACAGAAGTTGAATGTTGCACTGATTAGACTGTACTCTAATCCATACAGACTGTTTAAGTTAGAAGAAAATAATTAGATAATTGTTATGCAAATGCCAAATTTTACATTTCGCTGAAGCGAGTGAGTGAGAAGGGAGAGTATTTGTAGTTTCTTTCCCTCTCTTTAAATTCGTGTAGCAAAAGTAAAAAGATGTAATTTTCAAAGCTTGTCTTTGAGCTCGCGCTTTTTTCTTCATTTTACCAAAAAAGAGCTGCACATGAAGACAAATTATGGACAAGTAGGGATGAATTGATACAAGTAAACCCAAGTACATTCTCGATACTTTTCTCAATTTACCAAGTATTTTTGTACTCGATACTTTTTACTGTGATCCAAGTAGGTATCGAAAAAAAAGTACTTGTATCGGAAGCGCAAAACTTATTACGATTCAGCATCTTCTTTGAAAAGCAATCCATTAGAGGAATGGGAAGATATGGGCACTACATTTCCCCAGCTATATAAGCAAGCCCGTCTATACATAATGGTTGTTGGGAAATCTGTCCCTTGCGGGAGGCTTTTCTCAAAAACAGGTACATACAACTATATCATAATCTCGAAACTGCCTTTCAGGAAAACACATGGAAAAGTCGATGTTTTTGGGAAATATAACAAAAAAGGAGTTATTTTCTTGAACTCATTTTATGTGTTATATTTTATATCTTTATCTAATAATCTTGTAAAATGTGTTCTATTGTTTTTGAAAACAAATACTATACAAATATAATTGTTGTCTTGAGTCCATTAAAAGATAAATTATCTTGTAAAAATTCATTTTTTTTTTTGGGGGGGGGGGGGGGGGAAATACAATAACTTTAAAAAATATGCAAAATCGTAGTTCTAAGTTTAAGTACTCGATACCTTTCCGATACAGAGTAGGTATCGATACCTTGTTTGATACAAGTACAAGTACTGATTTGAGTAATACCTTGATGGTGTCGACAAGTAAATTTTATTTGATTTTTTATAATAAAGTATTGTACACATTTTCTATGAAAGTTACATTTTGGTAAGCTGAGAGCTATTTTGTACCAATTGTGGTAGGAAAAAAATATTTGAGTGGCAACACTGATGTATATACATATATAAGCGAGCAACTTTCTTTAACACACACAAAGCGGAACAAAAATTAAATTTCTCTCCCTTTCAACGCAATAAAACACATATGCATACATATATTCATTGGTATGAATACACACATGTGTGATCTATTCAAGCGTGTAAGGACTCTCAACCATTTTTATTGCATTTACATAACTAATTCAAACCAAATTTTGCAAAACATCGAATCAAAAATTCTATGAAACTACTCTAAAGGACTGATTAATGCATTATGACTAAATTATTCACTTCTAAAATTGTACAACAAATTTTATCGACCAATGACCGTTACAACATTCTGACAACCATTTCGTTTACCTGGGTATTTGTAACAAGGATAAGGGTTGATATGTTTTAATGTGTATGCATTAATATTTATATTCATACACACATACATACATGCATCTATGCTGGCCCAAATGCAAAAATGCATGGAAAATATATTTTAAATATTAATATCATAAATACTGACGGCCGCTGTGGTGGAGTGGTTAGTTTCCGATCAACATAAGGAAAATAATGGTTTTTCTAATAGCGGTCGTCCCTCTGCAGGCAACGGCAAACCTCCGACTGTATTTCTGCCATAAAAAAGCTTCTCAAACAAGTAATTTTTAGCAAAAAAAAAACCGATATAAAAACCGAAATATATATATATCTCATGATCCACTGA